ACTACGCTCACGACTGCGCCAGTTTTGGCGTACTACGTTTCTACAAAAAGACTGAAAATCTCGACAGATGCGTCCAAAGACGGTCTTGGAGCTGTCTTACTACAAGCAGAAGGTGAAAATTGGAAACCTGTAGCTTATGCTTCTCGATCCATGACAAGAACTGAAACAAAGTACGCACAAATTGAGAGAATGTTTGGGATTGGCTTGCGGACTGGACATTTTCCATTGTTATGTGTATGGCCTTCCAACATTCACAGTTGAGACAGATCATCGCCCATTAATATCCATCGTCAAGAAGAATTTAAGCGAGACGTCGCCAATAATCCAGCGCCTCATCATGCAAATGCAGAGGTATGATTTTGAATTCATTTACACACCAGGCAAACATCTCGTGTTAGCAGATGCGCTATCAAGAGCTACGCCACACTAGCTCCACTGAAAGTGAAGTCGAGGTTCATGCCTACCTCATTGTGGTGTCCCTGCCGGTCTCAGATTCAAAATCGAAACAAATAAGGGAGGAAACCATGAAAGACACAGAAATGCAGACGGTCATGACACATATGAGAGAAGGCTGGCCGAGAGGATCATGAACAAAGTATTACCACATCAGGTCAGAGCTCGGTGTTACAAATGGACTATTACTGACAGACAAAAAGGATTGTCATTCCGCACAGTATGAGAACAGACATACTGCAAGGGATGCATCATGAAGGACATTTAGGAGTCGAGAAATGCAAGAGAAGGGCCAGGGAAACCGTATACTGGCCAGGCATCAACAAGGAAATTGAAAATAGGATTGCAAAATGTGAAACATGTCAAAAGTATCAGTGCAAGCAAGCAAGGGAACCTATGCTGATTCCAGATCTTCCCACCGCTCCCTGGGAGAAAGTTGAAACAGACTTGTTTCATTGCAATGGAAAAGATTATTTGCTGGTCATTGACGATTATTCCAACTATCCCAAAATCGCCTTGCTCACAAGCACAACTGCAACCAAGGTCATAACACATGTGAAATCCTTCTTCGCAAGACATGGGATACCAGACATTGTGGTTCGTGACAATGGACCCTGTTGTAACTGCAGAGAATGGCAACAGTTCGCAATAGTCTTCTCGAATGCTTTCATTTCCAGTAACTTTCCAGTAAATCACTGGTTCCTAGTTGAAAACAGCAGAGTATTCATTGCATACTTCGATAGTGTACAAGCAAGTTCTACAAGGAAACAAATATATCATTCATATTTCGTGGGGTTTTTTTCTGCCGTTATTTTGACATATAAAATGCTTTGGTATGTTATAAGGATTTTTTGCTCTTTATAATGACTTTTTCGGTTGTTTATACAGGTTGGCGCTCCGAAAAGTTGACAGGTATGCGAGCATGAGGCGACAGGGTCGATGGCGCGCCACAACGGAGTAATTCCGTGCATTGGGGAACGAGCAGCGGTCGACGTGTGTCTCAGATCCCGTTTTAGCTAACCGCTACGTTTGCCGCGGCGGCGGCGCTTCCGCTAAGGCGGCAAGCGAACACGAAGAGATTAGCCGCTATGTTAGCCAAGAACGGAGTAAAGTCTTTTCACCACCCCCTCGCCAAAACGCGGCCGAATCTCCGACGTGTTGTTGAAGCAACAACAATGATTGGCGATCATAAACCGATCGAGACGCAGTTAAGAAGGCAAGAAGCATTGCGAGTAGTAAAAAAAAAAAAAAGCCGAAATGGCAGCAGCGTCACCGCACAGTGGCGCACTGTCCGCCATTTTGGATCTCACAACCAGGTTTCCAGCAAATTACGCTCGTTTCACCGCCATGCCGTATCACAGCATCGAACGGAAGACCCCCTGAAGCATCTACATGCAGACTGAACCAGTGAAAAAGCATTACAACGATTACATTAAAAACGATGACATCAAAAAAGCAGACAAACGATACTTACGTTCGCCATCACGGGCAGGAGAGATTCGATGACCTCAAAGCGCCCAAAAACATTCTTTTCCATAACTACGCAAGACCTGACGACCACCGTCGTGCAGAAGCGCGGGGATCTCATTTCGTTCCCTCGTCGTTTTCCTCGAGGACGTCACCGACCGAACAACCTGAAGGGAGGGCTACAACAACGACCCCTCGGAGTCTCGGGTGACGTGACGAACTCACTCATCCAATACAAAGTCGATGACGAAGTACACTCATTTGCTTTCTGACTCTTCGCGTGTAAACGGAACAAACGACAGCCAAGAATCAATTATTTTACATTGTAAGGCGATTTCTTTTTTATGTTTGTTTCTCTTTGAATAATTCAATTCACAAAGTAGAGAAAACTATTGAGAGACAACGTATACAAAACACATCGAAAATTCATACACAGAAATGCATAAAACTTCTCAAAACACACCAGGGTGTTTACACAAAGTGCATTTTAAATCAAATTAAATCAATAAAAAGAATATGTCGCATAAACCATCTTAAATGATATATGTTGGCAAATGTGTTTTCACTTTTCATTTCATACAATGTAGAAAAATAAGTATATAAACAAAAAAATTCAACAGAACCTGGTTTCTTATGCATATATTTTGATCTATGAATAGAGAAATTAGCCAAAATAACGAGCACCATCTGATCCCGTATCAAGTTCAGCTCTTCTAGCAGGCTTTTCCTGACATTTTCTTTGTTTTGTGCTGACACTGAATGATGTTTGACATGTTGCTACTTCCATTCCATTCATATCTTTCAAACTACTGCGGTCCAGAAATCTGATAACTATCGCGAATGTATACAAAAAAGACCTAAGGCAACATTTTTTTCTTGACATATTTAATAGTGCATTGAGAACAGTGTATGACTATGTTTTTCCAAACCCAGGCAAACGTCCACAGAATAAATTAATCTTGCAAAAACGTCCTGTACACACACACACACAGAGTATAAATTGGACTTCAATCAACCCAATTTTGATTGCGAGTTCATATATTTATTGGTCCCGTAGAGCTGTAACGCCCGGCGGAGGTGTGTAGGGGGAGACAAAGCACCAAGTAACAGACTGATCACAGTCCTCCCTCCTTTCTAAAGTAACACCTGCTGCTGCTGCTGCTGCTGCTTCTTCTTGAGTTAGCCTCAGCCATCAAGGTCAATAGCCATCAAGGTCAATAGCGGCTATGCTCGTCGGTCGCTGTGACGATGACGTCCATCCAGATTCTCATGGCGACCGGATCGGACGCCACCAGGAAGAAGAGGCGGTCATACGTCTTGACGCAGAACGTCAGGCTGGGCCGAGGCGACTGGGCAACAGGTGAGATGGCGAGCAAATATTAGGAAAAACCTGGATGCAGAAAGGTTTTTACAAAGGGCTTCTATTTTATTCTATTTAGATCATTGCCATTAGATGCATGTATACCGCTAGATCAATTATCATGTGCTGACATCCTAATGATTAAATATGTCAGATCAAAAGGCGATTGTATTCATCTAAATACATACCCCCCCCAAAAAAAATCTCAGTAAGTTGCACATGTAAAACATAAGTTATAATGTGATTAATTTCATCCCCCCAAAAACCAATTTAATACTACATATACATAATGTATATCACACACACACACACACATCTATTTATGTTTGTTTGATAGGGACTGTCAACAAATGCAGTTTTTTTTTATATGTACCGTATCTTGTGCTGACTCAGCCCATCTGTCAAATTTTAAAAGTCAATGCGGCCCCCGAGCCAAAAAGTTTGCCCACCCCTGACCTAATCGGTAATATCAACCTTCAATGCATGGATACATATTTTAAAGTTGCAATTTCATTTCTTTTAGAGTCATTTAATTTTGTCAGGAAAAAAAAACAACCCTAACCGAATGAGCGCTACTCATCTAAGTATTATCTGTTTTGTATTTTTTTCAAGTAGGTAAATGGACATTTGTATGACTTATTTCAATACGTTGGTAAAACTTGAGAATATTTCGTTTCTGTATTTCACTAATTATTTCATCATTTAACTCGCTATTAAAGTAGATTTATACTGATCCGATTTGGATTTTGGGGGAAAAAAAACAAGACTAGACGAGAAAATAGACAACCTTCCTGGTGTAACTTTAGCAGTTTGCTTCTCTTTAGCTCAAGGTGTCACCGAGCGGTGGCCTTATTTGGCACCACCATCGTCAAGTTCCTGGGATTCAAAAGTTGACGTTTGTTTCTGAAATGTGTCTTGATTCACGCGTGTCGCGTGGCAACTCACGGAAGCGGCTGTGCGCAGGTGGTCATAATAAACCTCTTCTACGGCCTGGAAGTAGATGACGCCCTTCAGCTTCCTCTCGTCACAATCTGAACAAAAGCGGAAGAAACGCATTGAAGATGATTTTTAGCCGCGCAAGCAAGTTATGATCCGGGCCCTCGGGGAGAGCGACGCGACCTGCGTAGTAGGCCAGCCTTCGGTGGTCGACGTCGAAGAGGAACCACCTCTTCTTCCAGGTCTTAACGCGGCCGCCTCGCTTGGTCAGGAAGCCGGCGCAGCGCCGCGACGACAGGCGCAGGTCCGTGCAAGCTGACACCCCGTGACCCAGAGACTCCACGTGGGCGCGCAGGTCGAAGTCCGGGGACAGGGACAGGGGCAGCCGCTGACGTACACGTAGAATACACACTAAATAGACCAACCACCCTTACTATTAACTGGGCTATTTACCAGTCAGGTACAAATCATATAGTATGGTATGGGGAATTATATACAGTATATAAATCATTGGAAAAAACACAGATCCTTATTTATTTATTTGCCCTTCTTATCAACCCCTCCCCCACTTTTTTTTTTTTTTTTTTGCAAAATAAAACATCTGGAGATGCATGCCTTTCAGATAGTGGTCAATAAATTGTTTTATACTGTCATGAAGTTCAAGCACGTATCTCAAATTGTTTTAGTCCTAACAGAAACGATTCATTAAAGGACAAAAAAAATGCCAAAATGCGGAGCTCCATGCTTTCCGTTGTACATCTTATTTCCAATGACCTTCGAAGGCACGGGTGTCAAACTCATTTTTGGCCCGGGCCACATTTTAGTGACCGTTTCGCACGGAGGGCCGTTATGACTGAAACCATAAAAAAAGAAGTCAAGGATAACTGTCGATTTAACGATTGTTGAAGTTCCTATCATGAGGGGTTTGCTCACAAGAAAATGCTTGGAATATATCTCCTATTTTTTACATCCGAGAATTAAAAGTTTTGGGAGCCATTTTAGAAAGGATCTTGGAAGTTGCCATGTTTTATGTTTTTGCGGGCCTCATAAAATGATGCGGCGGGCCAGATCGGGCCCCCGGGCCTTGAGTTTGCCACCGGTGTTCTAAGGGCTTACTGACCTCAGGAGGGTTGAGCAGGGACCTGCTCGGGTTCTCTTGTGGCTGCGGCCTGTGCGGACGCTCTGCTTCTGCTGCTTCTGACCCGGGCCAGTTGAGCTCCCGCTGCCTTCTCTCCTTCAACGACGCTCGTTGCCGCTCTTCCTGCTTCCCCCCATAAAAATAAAACAGCCCATCATCCAAAATAATGGCACGTGCGGCATCTGATGCGCAAGTCGGAGCCTTTGTGCTCCACTCACTCTCTCTCGAAGCAGCCTCTCCCGTTCCGCTGTGGCTTCCCGCAACTTGCGCTCCATCACCGCCAGATTCATCAGACACGGACTGCCGGAGTAAAAAGGCGTATTGAGAAAGAATCCGTGGTTGGGGGGGCGGGGCTAAAATAAAAATCACAGGAAATCTGCCATTTTGATTTCAAACGGACATTTTCGGCTCAGTTGGAGCCCGGGCCATTGCGACCATGTCAAAGTGTCCTTGAGCAAGACAGGACAGAACTCCCCCTTCAAACTTTTTGAGGGGCGGGGGGCACGGTCCTTCATTAAAGACAGTTTCACGTGGCGTCATGAGATGTGCTCAGCAAATTGATCACGAGCAGGGCCTGAAAAAAGTCTGAAGAAGCCATGTCCCAAAAGACACGGGGGCAAGTCTGCCATCTTGACCGGTCGTGGGCATTTTTAGGAGCTTTTCGCAAGCCGCCTACTGGTGAATTGCCTTGAGGGATCGTCCTGCCAAGTTGGCGGTAATGACGTTCGACGGATGCGCGACGCAAAATATTGGCCTTTTCGTCATTGCCCGTGTGGCAAAGTTTGACGAAAACAAAAAGTGAAAAGTCTGAAAGTGTAGCGCGGGCACGACTCCTCGGAACGGAGTTCAGGCCCTGACGACAGTGTCGTTGAGCGGCAGGGAATTTGGCGGAGATCTATCACGAGCAGACCCACAAAAGAAGGCCTGAAAAAAAAAAAAACACACTTCCCGTCTGCCATTTTTTTTCGGAGGTGGCCATGGGCCATTTCCGGGGGGGGCCTTCAAAGTTGAACTAAGCGGTCCTGGATATTGAGTCCCGTCGTCGCTAAACTTGAACAACATATCACAAACAGATGCGGTGGTCTTCAAAATGATTCAAGCCTCACTGCATTTTGAGCAAGTTGGACATTGATTTGGACCCGGATCAACTCGGGACTTGTCAAACAAACAAATGCAATTTCAACTGGAGATCAATCCGATTTGTTGGACTCCAGCGATAAAAGTTGAAATGGCCGCGTTTCGCCCGTTCCGGTCATTTCAGTTTGTTTTACCGGTCCAAAGCTCCGGTTGCCACGACACCGGGCTTAGCGCAAAGCTGACCTGGCGGCGCGAGAGCTTTCCGCGCCGTCGCGAGGGGCGAGGCGCCGGCGGCCATCGGCGCGCCCGTCGTGGAGTCCGTGCGGCGGAGAGGGGCGCCCCGGCGCCTCCCGGGGTCGGCCGCCGCCCGCCAGGGCCCGCTCCAGGCCTGCCGGAGGAGCAAGACCGAGACGTGAGCAACTTTACGGGAGACGTTTGAGCCGTGTGAGGACGCCGAACCAAAGGAGCCGCGTTTGGACATACGCGCTTTGCGTTGCATAGCAAAGAATTCTTTGATGGAGTTATCAAACGCAAGGCATGTCATTTTTTCCTCATCCACCGAAAACAACGAGGCGTCTCTTTTGGTTGTGACAAAAAAGATCAAAACGCGGCTCGCCGAGGAAAGTTCCCAATGAAAAGCGTGTCCACGTTTTTGGAGTTGTTCCCTCAAAAAAACAGGACGGAAACAAACAATTGCAATGATGGAAATGCGGGCTTCTGGTTCGACAACAAAGCTCTTTTTCGAGACAAAAATCCATCCTCCCAAAAAAAAAACAAAAAAACAAGAGGATGTCCAGATTTGGTCAGCTCTTTTACCAATATGAAAGGTTGTACACATTATGGATCCTAATCCCCCCTCCCCAAATGTCTGTCAGTGAGGCATGGAATTGAGATTCGGGTGCACAATTGGAGTCCTTGATTGAAAGCCGTGTGTCATTCCTCTCGTCTACATAACGCGCCCAAGAGGAAAATGCGGGCCCCGAACCGGATCGTCCGGTCCGTGCAGGTCAATCCGGCTTCACGCCATCAATCTGTCAACTTTTTTTTCCCCCGCGCAGACACGCCTCCCAGTTGCGACGGCACAAATGGGAACAAACGGTCAAAGCAAAGGAGGCCTCGGGCGAGGAGGCCGGCGCTCACCTTGGGCCGACGCGGGCCTGTCCTTGGTTCTGCCGCTGCGGTGCCAACTCCGTCGCCGGGGAAGAGTGCCGGAGTCCTTGCGCAGCTCCTTCACGCGCAAAATAGCAAAGCGAAAACAATCTGGAGTTACGTCTGCGATTGTGACTGGATGTCAAATTTAGTTGAGATCCCCGAGGCTTCTTCCAACACACGCAGACAAAGAATCGTTCCCACGCACAGTCACACCCACGCGCAGATGTCAACGCAGAACACGGAGGCAAATACGCGAGGCTCCGAAGCCAAGCAGACGGAGGCTGCGGGTGACTTTCAGCGTGACTCGCGAAAAGCGATTGAATGTCGCGAGTTGCCGTCATCTGAAAGGAGTTAGTCAGAGTCCAAAATTGCATCGTGGCTCCTGTGCATTCCTCTCGAAAGCTTGCGCCAAAACAAACGGAGAGCATTTGCTTGACGAGAGAGAGACGCACGCGTCGCTGGGGCTGAAGGATTTGGAAAAAAAAGAACACTGCTCGACAAAGCTGTCGTCACGTTTTGTCATCGGAGAGGCAAGTCAACTTTTTCAGATGATTGTTCTTGTCCGCCCTCCATTTCTTCTCTCGCGCATTCGGATTTCAGAATAGAACGAGAAAATAATGTCCCGTCATCTCGTCAAACCTTTGCTCGTATTTAGGAATGAAGGGTTCGGTTCAGCGCAATTTCTTTTTGAACCATCAATGACGATGCCTATTGCGCAAGTTTTCATCGGTCAACCTGAATCACAAAAAATGAGCATCGCTCAAAACCCCGACATACACGGAAAAAAAACAAGACGTTTTTGAAAGCCGTCTCGGATTCAAGTTTGCTGTTGATGATGATCAAAAGGCGTTTTTGAAATCCGTGTCAAAAATAAAGCCGTCTCGGATTCAAGTTTGCTGTTGATGATGAGATAAATGTGATGCCCCCCCCCAAACTGATATTATTTTATTTCTTTCTTTTTTAGGCGCCCTTGCCACGTAGCCTCGAACAAGCAAAAGCAACACACACATTGGTGCGAAAAGAAACGCCGTCACATTTGGCACACACAAACGTTTTGGCCTCATCACTTCGCCTTCTGCTCAAATAAAAGCAAATCGGAGCAAAGAAATGCACGTGCGTCTTAAGCGCGACTTTTTACGTCTCCTGAACAAATGATGGGCCAACAACATCCAAGCCTTCTCCCCGCACTCGATGACAAAATCCAACCACCAATAAAAGAGAACAACTGACCAAAAGGAACCGCAAGCACGTGCCGAGAATCTTCAGAGGACTCCTTTCTTTCTGACATTTGCACGTTGTGGAGGAAAGGCCCGGGTATTGGCTTCCGTCTCGTCGGCGAGTGCCAGTTCGATTTGAAACCCAACTGACCGGGGGGGGGGTCACACGCTGACCGGCGGATGATTTTGAGCAAAACGTGCGTGAACGCTGAGAGTGCTGACCGTGTGAGCGGAGCGCAGGAGGTCGTTCTTCTGCCTGGTTAAGGCTTCCAGCTCTCGCTCCTTCTCACCCTCCATGTCTCTCAGCTGCGTCTCCAGCAGCTCAACTCGCTCCTTTTTGGGAGGGGGGGAAATAGATCAGAGTTCTCCTCGTGGCGGTGGTCAACTTCTTTAGCTACCTGCGTGCCAATCAGGTGTGTGTGTGTGTGTGTGTGAACTCATTTTGAAAACTATGAAGCGTGATTGGCTTCTTTCTCATGACTTCCGAGTACGGTTCCAAGAAAAGTGACCCTTTCAAATGAAGGTTTGAAGACGGCTTTAGCATGAGAGCGTTAAGGTTTTGGGACGGCTTTGAAATCCAGCTTTCAAGACGACTTTTATGGTTTTAAACTGCGCTGAGCGAGCGAAGCCTCCTTTAGGATTTCAAGATCGGAAGTCATGTTTCACGTTTGGGTTTCAAAGTTGCGGTTTAACTCAGGGATACATAAAAAAAAAATATATATATATATATATATATATATATATATATA